TAAAGAAGAATAAAGAATTGGTATGGAAATATAGTACACGGAGAAATAAAAACTATAGAATAAAGGAAAATAAAGAATTGGTATTGAAATATAATACAAGGAGAAAGAAAAACAATAGAATAAAGGAGAATAAAGAATTGGTATTGAAATATAATACAAGGAGAAAGAAAAACAATAGAATAAAGGAAAATAAAGAATTGGTATTGAAATATAATACAAGGAGAAAGAAAAACAATAGAATAAAGGAGAATAAAGAATTGGTATTGAAATATAATACAAGGAGAAAGAAAAACAATAGAATAAAGGAAAATAAAGAATTGGTATTGAAATATAATACAAGGAGAAAGAAAAACAATAGAATAAAGGAGAATAAAGAATTGGTATTGAAATATAATACAAGGAGAAAGAAAAACAATAGAATAAAGGAAAATAAAGAATTGGTATTGAAATATAATACAAGGAGAAAGAAAAACAATAGAATAAAGGAGAATAAAGAATTGGTATTGAAATATAATACAAGGAGAAAGAAAAACAATAGAATAAAGGAAAATAAAGAATTGGTATTGAAATATAATACAAGGAGAAAGAAAAACAATAGAATAAAGGAGAATAAAGAATTGGTATTGAAATATAATACAAGGAGAAAGAAAAACAATAGAATAAAGGAAAATAAAGAATTGGTATTGAAATATAATACACGGAGAAAGAAAAACTCTGGCAAAATTACCGTACTGTGTGATAAGGACATTTCTGGTAGAAACATCATTAAATTGATAGTTTTTCCGTTAGGTATAACGGAAATTCTGGTTTTCGATTATAGTTCTTACTACCACATATTTAGTCACAAATACGAAATGAAAAGCAACTTTAACCGAATAAATGGTTTTTATGACATGCACTAAAGAATCCTGCTGAAATTTTAAAAAGTTTCCTTATTTACTAAATTTAACACATTATAAAGCCATATTTTATTGTTAGTTTTACCAAAATCATTACCAAAGCACTTCGGTAATAAATACCAAGCTTTTTGGTGTTCCCCTAGAGTCAGGAACGCGATAAATTTTATTATACTCTAATAGTTCTCTCTGTGTATGACTATTTTTTAATTAACTCATGCTTATAAAAATAATACCATTAATTATTTAAATGAAAAAAACTCAAAAATCAGAAAAATGTTCTATAGGTCTATTTTTGTCTTTTTTTAATTCAACTTAAATTTAAATACCTAAGCATTATTACCTATGATCCATCTGGTTCGACAATAGAAAAATACTGATGCATAAAAAATAAAAAAATAACGTTTTCCCTAAAACAGTTTTCAGGTTTTGAAAATAATTAAATGTGTCGTAGTTTATAACATCCCTCATATTCCCAATCAGATTCTTGTTTATATATATATATATAGTCTCGTTATGTTAACTATTCAAATAAACGGGGGCTGAAATGAGTATTTTATTCAGATTAGATGCAGTTTACATGGGTAGGAGGCATGAATAATGATTATGATACACGATAGGTTTTGCTTCTCGCTCGCATATTTGTTTTGGTAATAAGACTCTTCCCGGACTTATATACTCAATTAACTAGTTAGAACCAGCAGACAAACTTGAAGCGATACTCGTTATTTTACGTTACGAAAAAAAAATTATTATGTTGAAAGGTCGTTTACCTTTTTTACATTCTAAAACATTACGTATGATGATAATGATTCTAACCTTATAAAGTTTAGTTAGTTTTTATCTATACATAGAAAAACCTTATCTAGTATAAAAGTGATTCCTCTCTCGAAACTATAGTTTCTTAATGACATTTTTAGTCTATTCTTGTCAAAACCTCATCTTGTACAAGAGTGGCTTAATTTTCCAAACTATAGTTTTTTAATGCCATTTTTAGTCTATTCTTGTCAAAATATAAAAGTTTCAAATCGTTATGAATAACAGGAATCGCTTAAATGTTGCGGCAAATTTCTAGAAGACTTAAGACACATTATTAGGATTAAAATTGCTTGGGAACCAATTGTTTGATTATATGTACTGTATGTTCCATATTGACCACCATAAATATATGTTTTTAAATCCTTATTAAAAATAAATTCCAAAAGTCTATACATGAGGAGTTACACATCATCGGAATTAAAATTGTATAGGAATCCATGCCCGGAAATGTCGTCATACTCCTTTAGGGGCTCTTTCACTACTATAAACTGTTTCTTCACATGCTTCTGAACAGGTAGAAATAGGGAAACGTCCCTTGTTGCGCACAACGACATTACGGGCATGGATTCCTAAGCGGTTTTAATCATGATGATGCGTAACCCTTCATCAGTAAACTTTTGGAATTTGTTTTTATAAGGATTTTAAAAACATATATTTAGGGTGGTAAATACGGTACATATAATGCAACAATTGGATAAATGCAATCGACGTCATGACGACTAAATCGTGGAATTTGTCAATTCAGAAGCTAATCAGGTTTGATACGCTAGCGTGAAATCGCTTACAGGTTTCTTATCAAATCTGATTTAAATTACATGGTTGTGCCTAATTAAGTATTTTTCTTCTCGGGTTGCAAGCACCCAGTTATTGCCAAACTTAATCAGTTTTAAGATAGTCTATTGCAGTAAGTTGGATTACTTGCTTTATTCTAATTAAACCAATGAAAAAATTAAAAGAAATAAAACAAGCTTGCTCAATTTTAAACTTTTTATAAAGTATCTGAAATCACTTTGATTGCATTCTTACGTTTTGTAAAATTATCATGAAATCACAGGATATTAGACAGAAGAATGTATGAGACATTATCGTCAGTCGTGTTACCAATCTACACGAAGTTACCTTTCCTTCAATGTCAAATTATTTGGGTCACTTTAAAGATTAATGATGATACAAAATAATTTTGGATAGTTGGCGCCATTGTGGGAAACTTTTCGAAAGGAATTTTACCCTTTCAGCAATGGTTCAAAGTTATTTTGTCTTCTCTTTCTTTCTTTCTTTTTTCAAGCAATTTAAAAGAAAATAAACCATTTTATCAAATGATAAGATCTAAAGGGAGAAAAACTAGGCAAAAAGAAATATAATTTTAACAAGCCTTTTCTTATTGTTTTTGTACACAAAAATAATTCATCAATACGTAATTGATTTCTTGATAAAATATAGGAAAAAGTAATTGCTATAGTTATTACCTAAACTATATTTGTTTTGCTTTTTCTAAAAAGAGATAAATAAATGACAGTACAAGATACAAAAAGGACTTCATGGAGTATTTTTCAGAGAATTTTGAATCTATGTTACTCCCGTTCATATCTTGAGCAAATAGTGTTTCATATTTTTCAGCAAAAAACAATGTGTAGTTATGATTCATTCATTATATATTATGATTGATTCGTTTATTCACTCATTATAATATATATATAGTATTATTATTATTATTATATTAATATGCAAATAAATAAAAACGCTAAAAACTCACTATTTTAGTTAAGTTGTTGGTTTAACTTTGAATACTTACATGTTACTCAATATTTTAATACATTTTCTCAACTCTTAGGCAGTATTTTTACTAATAACGTTAAAATACTGAATTTTTTTTTTTTTAAAAAAAACAATACTTTAAGACGGTTGCTCATAGGTATCGTAATCCTTTCATTGGAAGGAAGTGAGTTTGGCATTTGATAAGGATATCATCGTTATTTTTTTCAATTACTCACTAATTTTTGTTATTTTTACTATACAAACAAGTTTTAATTTGTGGAACATACACATTACTTTTCGAAGTAAATGATGTGAAAAAATAATCATTCTAGATTTAACAACAAAATAAGGAAAATTTCAATGTGTTAAAAAAATTTTAACGCACGTCTGTCCAGGGAAGCTCTATAAGTGAAAATTTTTCAGAGATTCGTACTATTTGTTTCCATAGAAAAGCCCCCTTTTGCCACTTTCGAGATAGACAAAATTACCAACAAAAGGAGAGTAGAGACGATGTCATTAGAAAGAGAAGATTTAGTAAATGATATCACATAATACCAAAGTGAGGATGGAATTACCAAAACAGTTGTTAATTTAAGGGGGTCGACGATTCAGTTCCCAAAAAATGGCGTTTGATAGCGAACAAATAGTTAGGGGCCAAAATATATGCAATATAGTAATAAAGATATGATTTGGGAGAAGGTATTTCAGTCAGCGAATAATATCATTTATTATTGCTAAGCTGTGAAGCGATCCATAATTACCAGTTTTTGAAAATGATATCATTATACAGAAGATTTTTAATGAGTGAATAATATTCTCTGTTATAGCTAAGTAAGGAAAGGATCAAAAATTATAAAAATTTTGTATATGATATAAGTAAACAGAAAGTATTAGTGTAATTAGTGTATAATGTCCTTTGTTATTATAAACATAAATAGAGGTCAGAATTTACCCAAATTATTGATAAAGATATTATTCAAAGCACGGTTTAATCAGTAAGTGTCGTCCTTTGTTAAGGTAAATATGAGAGTATTATTTCAATTATCAAATGATTGTTAATGATATCATTAAGAAGAAGAATAATATCCTTTGTTATCATAAACAGGGATAGTGGTCCAAAATTTCTCCAAATTATTGAAAAAGCTATTATTAAGGACATAGTTTGATCTGTAAATGTCATCCTTTGTTAACATAAATGCGTGAAGGGTATCTCAATTATCAAGTAATTGTTAATGATATTATTAAAGAAGGAGGATAACATCTGTTGTTATCATAAACACAGATAGTGGTCCAAATTTATCCAAATTATTAAGAAAATAGTTTGATCAGTCAATGTCATTCTTTGTTAAGGTGTGTGAAGGGTATTTCAATTATCAAATAATTGTTAATGATATCATTAAAAAGGAGGCGTTCTGGTCGCTGTACGATTCATTTGGAAGGAATAGAGGGGGCAGAATTAACTAAACAATGATGAAAACGATACTTATGAACAACCCAAAACTAAAAAATGGTATTAACATATTTTCTTACTGCCACTGTCCACGCTAGGTGGGCGAGGTAATTCTCCAGGCACCTCAGGCTTAGCCGGCTTTCTTGTCGGCGTAAGGGGTAGACCTTGAGTCTTTCCATCCTGGGCATGGGGCGTAAATTGGGCGCGGAAACACGAATAGCACTTGCCCATCTTCACCCCGTTCTTTCAGCTGCAGGGTGGTATAAGATTGGGCAAAGAAGAACAAAAAAATAGAATAATCTTTTCCAATAAACGATAGGCAAGGACCTGTGCTTAGCTGTCTGGTTATAGCTTGCCGAACCAGTCCTACAAGTGGCCAGATATTCTCACAACCTTTACGATCTCGCTGATCCCAAGAAGATGGTACACAATCACTTCTTCTTCAACTGAAAGAGAAAGTGTAGGATTGTTAGGACTAGGCCAAGGACGCGACTTTTTTAAGAGCTTATGGGAGGAGGAAAAACATGAAATTATAATACTGGGTTAGTTGGTGGTAAATATACAGAACAAAACATTTCGGTTTAGGTGCAATATAAATTTGCCCACTCTTGTTCTAAATGGCTTCTTTAAATGAGCTTTCTATTAAACTAATTCGATAATCAATTCACGAGTGAAATATTTTTTACATAAGTGAAAGCTTAGTTTACTTGGCTTTAATTAAATATTGACATTGAATGAACTTTTCAGTTAGGTTAGATTTTTACTTCCAAGCAACAGTATGATAAGTTTTCGTTCGTAAGTGTTTTAAGTTTTAGTAATAGAAACATTAACTCAAATAAGATAGCGGGTGATAAAAATAAACAGCAAAAAAAAATTTGATTTTGGAGAGAGAGAGATTTATTCACTCTCTTGTTGAAATAATCTTTTTCTAAACCGAATTATATAATTGACTTACGGTATTTAATACATGAGTAAGAATTTCTGCGTTTCAAATATTGATTTAGAGTGCGTTTATTACATTGATTTAGATTTCTGCTAAGTTAAAATACAAGAAAAACAAACAAAACCGTAAAAAAAATATAAATTATTTCAAAAACCTTTTTTCTAACTTTATTTTTTATTAACGGTGCTTCAATTGTCAAAGGTTACAATTTTAAGAATACCTTTAGTGTTGTACATAATTTTAGTAATTTAAATTGCAATACCTAAGTCATAATTTTAGTGTGTGCGTAGACAGCGATTTATAATTCTAAAAATGTTTTTAATGTTTATGAAAATTACATAAGGTTCTGGGAAAAGCTCTGATCCACAAAGGGCTGTCATGCCAAAAGAAGAGAAATATTAAGCTTTTAAACTTTATGGAGATTAATTAATTATTGAAATGTAGAAAAACGTATATTTGTATATTAACTTAAGCTTGATTACGTAAATGTAAAAATGCTTTTAAATCCCAAAATAATAAGTAAGAAAATATTTATTTTAATAAAATAATTATATTAAAATACAAAAGGAAGCGATTGCATAAATATACACACTTTTTAAATATATATTTAATAAATTTGTCCATTAAAGAATTTCTCTTCAAAATAAACTCTTCTTAAAAAAATCAAATTAAATTATCATATAACAAAACTCGAGATGTTCAATAACATGAGAAATTGAATTAGTGAAATTTAAAGTTAATATTTTATAAGAAAAAAAGATAAAGCTTAAGAATATATCACATTGCAAAAATCAAACACAAAAGCGTGAGTATAATATTTATCTAGTCTTATTATTGATACAGAGGGTAAAAGAACTACAGCATAAAAGTAACTCTTGCATCTTCGCTAAATTGTGACTTGGGGAACAAGGCAGACGAAAAAAAAAACGAAACATAACATTCTCTAAAATAAACACACTTATAAATAATGTAAAAAAATGGAATACTAACATCCATTATAGTAAATAGCTTTTATTTCATTGTAATGTTTCATATGAACAATATAGTTTATGAATGAACAGGCATTCTATTTTATAGCTAAGTCTTGTTTTCAAGAAATTTTTCAAAAGCAGGTGTGTAATAACAGAAAACATCTGTCAGAAAGGATCGAGTGTCACCTTCTAGACTGTGTTTGATGACACATGCGTTTGGTTTGTGTAGGTTGCAAAGAGTTTGCAATTCCTAATGATTCATGCGATAGGAATCATATAAAATTATAAGATATTAGAAGCTCAATTTTCAGCTCTTCGAAAAATGCTTCGATACAATAAACCTTTATACCAGATTAAATATTATGAATCATATAGCAGGAATCATATTAACTTACATAATTATCCAATAATAAAAGCCCAATTTTAAATAGTTTTTTATGGTGTATCAGTGAAAAATCTAGTGAAATCTAGTCTAAATGAACAGTATACAATAAACAGCCAAACGAAGATATTTGTGCTATAATCTCCTGTACAATTCCATACTCTTCCTGTACAATTGTTTATTGTTTACTCTCCTACATTTGTACTAAATAAATTATTAGAAAACTAAATATGTCAATTTGCCACTAAATTTTTAAGTAGTTAAAAGCATTTTAAAAATTTCTTTAAAAAAAACTTATTATGTTGATTGGAATTGTCATTATTTTGTTTAGAGTAATTGAAGAAGCATACACATGATAATAAATGTTCAAAGTAAATAACATATTTAGAACGATATGGATACTATTAAATCAATAAATATTAAAATACATTTGAAATCTAAAATCTGAATTAAGTACTAAAACTATAAATACATTATTTTTTATTAGTATGAATTCAGAAAATACAAAGTTGAGAAGCAAAAGTTAAAAATAAAGTATGCAATAACTAAAAAACAGCGTTAAAAAATGTTTCACATTTGTGGTTTTCTTGCTGATATTCTTGTATACTGAGAGATGTTCCTAAAATTCTATTCCTAGGTGAACTACTTAAATTTCAGAGAAGACAATGATTTATTTTTAAGAGCGATTTTTAACTCAGTGTTCCCGTTTAAATCTTATACTTAGTTACATTGCCTCCATTTCTTAGAAAATGCCTTGTCAGTTTTTTAATTTTAATAATATTTTTCTTTTCTTCACACTTATTTTCTTACTTCTTTTGTTTCGTAAGAAATTATAGTTATTCTTTTAGATAAGTTCGATATTATATTTTAAATTTAATTTGATTTAGACTTAATTTAAATGTTTTATTTTATCCCTTAATACTCATGCTTTGCAAAGCATCATGCAGCTTTCAAAACTATTTTGAACTAGAAAGTAACCCAAAAAAATCCCAGTTTTCCCTTTAGTTTGATAACAAATTGAGTCGGAGAATTAATAAAAATTTGAGGGGGAAATTGAAAATGTTAAACCACTATTAAAGTTTCACAACAATGTAAGAATCCTAAAAAAATGTTATCTTACAATAATATTTACTGAAATATATGGTGAATACTACTGACTAATTAATTGAAACTTAAACAAAGTTAACTGTTTTCATATAGACATTAAGAAAAATCATACAATTTTATGGTATACTATTATAGGAAATAGTTGTTAAAAATAATAAGAATTAACATAATTAATGGCAAATTCGTGACTAAAAATTATTTACTACCATCTATTTTCAGTACATTTCTGAAACCGAGTAACTAAAGTTTATTATGCTTAATTTAGTAGCTTATTTTACATTTTAATCAGTATTCCTAGTAAACGATTATTTAATATTTTCTTTTCAATTTAATTTGATGGCATATTTTAAGTTTAATTAATTTCTTTTTACTTAAATTATTTTAAATGCTTTTGTCAATTAGATACATTCTTTTTTACATTTATTGATTACACTAAGTATTTGAACCACATAAGTGATATTAAATAAACTTATATTTTTTTTAACTTACTTAGATACTTAAGTATGATAATGCAGAGAACTATTTTTAAGTTTTATTTCGTCTGTAATACATCTGTTTAAAACATTGAATCACTGACATGAAATTTGAAACATATTACTTTAGAATAAACAATCGTCAGTTTAAAACGTTTTGCAAGATATATTTACTCTTGAAATCTTTTTCGAAACTTAATTGATTCCCTTTGTTAAATTTTATTTCAATTGATTAATTTTACAGTCAAGAGTTCAAGGAAATTGGTTTAAACAGGCTAATAAAATACGCATTAGAGGAATTTTAATCAATAATATGGTGTACAACAACCAATAAATTCAACTAATAAATAAAATTTTTAATAAAACTATAGTCTGGAACCCATAGAGGCTCTAATAAGAATTATCCTTTTGAAACAATTATTTTACTTTATTTTTGCAACAATAAAATAAATTATTCAAAAATTAAATTTTGAAAGTTTAAAATATATGCATTTCCAATTAAAATGAACGATAAACAAACAAAAAAATAATTATTGAATTACTTTAAATAAAATAATATTTCTAATATTTTCGAATCGGAAAATTGTTAATAAGAATTACAAATGGCAAAACTGTATCTAAATAATAATGAGTACAAAAAAAACTCTGAAGAGAAATTAACAATTTTTTTATAATGAATTTCTGTAAGGAATAATTTTTAAAACTAAATATCTAATTTGTAATTAATAAATAAAACTTATGGCAAGTTGTTGTATTATTCATAAACATAAGTATAAGTAGACGTTATTAATTGTCGTACTATTTTATATTGCTTTTTCCTTACAAATATTTACAGATAAACTTAATAGAATAGATAATAAAAATTATGTTTAATAACTTATCAATCGATGTTCTTAAACACCATCATATGAATAAATATGAATTCTTTTTATAGAATTTTATCCTAACCAAAAAAAAACGAGAAGAAATATTACGAGACATAGTTTAAGAAACGCTTAAATTTATTCTACATTTTTAATAAGCACTTCTTTTTGTTAAAAATATTTTATTAAATTTAAGAACATTGAAAAATGCTTCAAATTACAAACAATTTAGTAATTACCTACTTTACACTTTTAATATGAATTTCACTTATCAGATTTTATCTTAATCAAATGAAAAATGAAGGAAAAATGCATATACTGACTGCAAAATTACCATATAATTGATATAAAGAATAATCCATTTTTATACAATAATATTAATTTCGTAAATTATGATTCCTATTACTTATATTTTTCCACTATAAAAAGATCTTTAGAATGTCTTTATCATTTTCATGCATAGTGGAAAATTTTACTTTATTGTTGGCTTTAAATTAAAACTTTCTTAAAAAATCTTAACTATTGGAAAATTATGAAGTTTCTGAAATAAATAATTCAGAAAACAAAATATACAACTATCAAAATCATACTCTGAAATAATTCTTTATAACCTTTTATTAAATACTTAAATAAAAAAAAAACTCCAAAATCATTTGATTAACGAACTTTTCTCGGAATAATTTACTTTTCAATATTCAATAAAGAAAATTAGTTTTCATGTAAAAATAGCAAATATAACTGATACTTTCCTAATAAAAATTCTAAATCTAAAAAATAATCTAATGAAAATGATAAACATAATCTTAAACTCTGAATCGCTATAATGTTTACTTCAAAATGAAAAAGAAATTATGAGATTTAAATTTTAACAAACGAGCAATTTCTAACAAACCATTAATAAACAGCATTTGAAGAATAAAAAATACAGATTTTAATAAAAAAATAAGTTTAAATGAAAATTACATCGACTTAGAGCTTTCTCTAACGAAGTTCGTTGCTAAGAATATATCTGGCAACATGGGAAAAAACAAGAAATAGTTTTTTTTAAATTAAAAAAAAACGCAAATAAAAATCTTTTAACCAAGAAAAACGAAATATACTCCTAAAAATAATGTATGAAACATTTTAAAATATACGAACAACAATGTTTTAAAACGAATGTATTTAATCAAAACAATAAATTGAACTACTTTTATTAACAAAATAAAATAAATCCAACGATATGAACTCGAAAAATTAAACAATTGAGAATCGCTAGTTAAAAACGGGTTTCGAATAAAAGCTATTTAATAAAATAAGATGTTTCATTTAATCAATAAGTATCGAAATAACAAGAGTGTAAAGAAAATAAAAATTTAAAATTATTCCAAACAAAGACTATAATCATACATACCGGTCTTTTCCGTCAAAAGAGAAAAATTTTAAAGAATATTCCTTTACAACTCAGAAAAGAATAGAGTTCGTGAAAGAAGAGATGCGACAAAGTTTTTCCTTCTTTCTCTCACCGCAACTTTTTTTGTGAATCGAGAAATAAAAATTGTGAGTTGAGAGGGGGAAGAGGTAAGCTCAATTCTCATCCGGGCTATTTCATCTTTCAGAGGATGAGAGTGATCTCGGTAAGGTTTACTATGATTGTTCCTTTATCGCCAATTTTGGCGCAACATGTTTTAAATGTAGGGAGTTTTTGAACAATGGTTCCCATTTTTTTCTCGGCTATGGAATCGTAAGTAAGTAATCACCTTTCTCTTAACGGAGCTCCGACTTTATAAATACATTTATAATAACATTTGTAAAATTTGAGTTCGCAGGGGCTAGAGAGCCATTTTGTCTAGTTTTAAACTAGTTTTTTGAATATGGAAAAGCTGAAAATGAAGCTGCGTTATAGTTTTCGTTGAAATGAAGACGAATAATAATAAAAATAAAAAAGTAGTGAGTGGAGTCCCTCTGCGCTGAAGAAGTGAAACTTCGCAACCCGCGACGTTAATAGTAGAAGAATCAGCAGTCGTAGAAGGATCACTAGTTCTATTCAACGACTATTTTTCTTGCTCCGCTCGCTTCCGTGCTCTGTAATCACGGTAATATTATGCATTTTTCCCTCGTGGACCTCTTGAAAAAGTGGAAGTGTTTGTGGTTGCCTCATCGTCTCGCCCTGGAAAATGTATTTGTATTAATAATGTATGTGAATGCGTCATAATGTAATTTCAAAAGAGAAAACCTAACAATCAATTGATATTCACAAGAGACGTACCTTGACATAACCTTAAATCCGTCGCATTGTCCGTGGGATTGTTTTCACTCATTTTTTACAATTGTTATCCACTAAATTTGAAAATAAAAAATACTACCCTATTAAATTATATGTGTATCAAAACAAACTAAAAAAATATTTATAGAAAAACAATTCGCGATCGCAACGAACTATAGGGGGCGTTGTTGTATGAGACGCATACCTGCGATTTCTATATGAACCGTCATTCAGTTACTCTGGAGACGTCTTTAATGTAGCGTGTAGCATTGTAACGTTCCTTCTTTAATGTGGCTTATTAAATTTAAAAAAGAAAAATGTTTGATATCCTTTCTTATACAACCGAAAACAAGATGGTATCTTTTTTTTTTTAAAGAAGGAACATCCAAAACACATCTGAAAAATATTTGTAAATAAACAGAAAAAAATATGTATCTTCTTATTAGAGTTAAAACCTAATGCCTGAGAAATAGTTTTACTAAATTTAATGATATAACCTGAAAGGCCTATTTAAACTTTACATTCCATAGTTTTAAGAATCATATTACTTCAAACATTAAAATAAGCAAAAAGTATACATAAGCTTCATAATTTTATGTAATTTAATTTTGTAAATAAAGTTTTTTGACAAGTAATTTTATCAAAAAATTTTAAGTTTTAATAAAAATCATTATTTAGAAACTGAAAAACGTAAAGTAAAGAATGCTTACGATACAAAACAAAAACAAAAAAAAAAAAAAACAATTCTAAAAATTCCTTATATTAAAATAAACAACTTTCATGTTTTTTCTTTTTTGATTCATAATCGGACGTAGAAAACCATTCTATAGAAAACTATCATCAAGAAAAAAACTACTTAAAAGTAAAATTTTTTATTTTATAAAAATTAACACTTACCTGCTTTATAAATCAGAAGAATTCCAAAATGATTTGTTCTTCGATTTTTGTTACCATTTTTTAGTGCTACGAAAATGCGTCTTTGGGATTTGCCAAAAATAGAACAAGATGCAATTTTATTTTTTCTGGAGCGAAATATTTTGCCCATTGTCCACCGAAATCCGATAAACTACTTTGATTTTAAATAAAGTGTTTCGTTTTATGATTTGTCACAAAAATTTTAGGTGTAGATTGGCGGCACTTAAAAACAGCCAAATCTGTAGCTGCTGTGGCGTTAATACATAAGTACCGAATTTTTATTCATACTTTTCTGAATCATATTACTTGAAACATTAGAATATGCAAGAAGTATACATAAACACATAATGTTATACCATTTATGTTTTCAAAAAAAGTATTTTGACAACAATTTTTATCAAAAAATTATAAACTATAAAACGGAAAATAAAGAATTCTTAGGATAAAAAACGATTTTAAGAATTCTTTACATTGAAATAAAAACTTTCATATAGTTTCTTTTCTTATTATTCTTATAGTTCTTAATCAGACGTAAGAAACCATTCTGTAGAGAACTATCATCAAATAAGAAAAAAAAGTTTTACAAGCTAATTTTTTATTATAAAAATCATAACACTTACCTTCTTTATAAATCCGTAGAGTTCCAAATGAAATGTTCTTCGTTTGAAAGTTTTATTTTCAAATAATATGTGCATAGATTATCCCTTTATTACTTTTAGATAACATACCACACATCAAAATTTTATAATTGTAAGATCTCGATATGAATTTGAATATGTAGCTTAAAAACAGAACAGCTGAATTCTAGTTGAAATTATCTATTCTTTCAAAACTAAAAAATACTTACCAAGAAAACGATAAAAAATTTATTAATCATCAGCACAAATGACACTATTTCAAGTAATTTGGTTGATTCTTTATTGTTGTTTTCCGAATTATATAGATACAGAAATATATACTGTTCTATAACAAAGAAGAATTCTATAACTATTGCAGTTCTTGACGTTCTGAATTCACATTTATTTATTGGAATGACGAAAGCAATGTTGACTTCATTTTAATTTGTAATGAATTGAAGACAGAAAAAATTATTTTACCGTAATATACACATCTGTAACAGCAAATGATCATGAAATTGTAAGTTATGTTCTTGGTAATAGAAAGGTAAAAATTATGGAGAAATTGTTATTTAAATGCTTGGCGTGTTCTGCTTCAATGTTTGGCATGTTCTGGTTACTTTTTTCAAGTTCTTCAGCTTTTCCTTAGGGAAATTTTGATTTTTATTTGCTGCTAAGAAAATGGCGTCCGTCATGGCCAATGATTTTTATGGAACTAAATCAAAACGTGATAAATTAATGTCTGATATTTACAGGCTCCCGCTAGAGGGGGTACTCGAGCGTTGCGATCGCGAATAGAAAAGCAATACTTTTATTATTTTTATGCTAGTGAGAACCAAAACAATATGGAAATGAATGAGGGAAAACTGGATCCTATCACGTGATTTCCTGGCCAATAAAAATGTAGCGTTAAACGCTTAAGGCAACCTTGTTGGAAGTCGCATAAGAAGTATAACTTCAAAAAAATTTAAAAAAAAAAAAACAATTTATGAACCTTGAGAATCAAGAAATTTTGAACAGAGAATTTAGACGACATGATAACTTGGAATTGAAATATATTTCATGGGAAATACCATCGCAATTTTTCGTAAATGCAAATCCGTTTCTCAATAAATTTAATGTATTGTTATTAAAATAAAAAAATAATAAAAATTTTATTTTTTTCCCTCCGTAATTTTATTTCAATAATCTATTAAAAATCAAAATATTAAAAAAGAAAATAATTATTGTTCAAATATAATTATAATTATAGGAAATAAAAGTCCTATCCAGTTAACAAAAAAAAAAAGTTCAATCTCTCGAAAAACCTGTGACCCTTCTACAATATTCTAGGGTTCCGCAGAACACTTTTTGGAAACTACTGAATTAGAGGATTAAACATAAATATTTTTTTTCTAATTCACCCACCCTTATATACCTAAAACAGAAATGATATCATGTTTATCTTTTTAGAACGAAGCCCAAAGCCATAATCGTATCCAGTAGGGATCATTTTCCCAGGGCCCCACATTTCTATAACTCATGGGTTTTTTTGCGCAAATGTTAAAAAAAAGAGATTTTTTAAAATATTTAATAAAAGAGATTTTTTATAAAATTATTTTTGGTAAAATTTACTCTTAATTTCAATCATATAAGCACATGCAATGATCTAAACCCCAGGCACGCCTCTGTTAGACAGTGCTTCCCGTATTACTAAAATCACAAAATTAGGAAATAAACAATTTCACATTATTATTTAATCAGGACTCTTGTGCAAAAATAATTCAATTGCAAAAGCCCGAGCCTTATAAAATTTTAACAGTTATCTAAAACTTGAAAATAAAATCAAAAATTATTATAATGATGTTGGAAATTTTTTTTTAAGTTATCTGTTTGTAGAAAAGAAATTTTAAAAAAATGTAATCGATTTTTTTTAAAAACATTCTGTCCTACGGGGTTCTAAATAATAAATTTTTTTAGGGCCCTACAAAGAAAAAATAGTTAAAGGGTCTTGCAAAGTCTTGAGAAGTCTTTTGAGGACTTTTTCTGTTGTTTACTTCTGTCATTTAATTTCTTTAAACCATTGACTACAGCAGTGAAAGTGGAGTTAAAGTGCAGTGGATTATTGAGCATGAATAAAGTTAAATGAGGGGGGGGGGGTAAATACTTAGTAGGTCTGTATTAGTTAAAGCAGTGAGAAAAAAAACTGTATGCTTAACAGGAAAGCAACTTTCTAAACTTCCATGAGCAACATAAGTTTTTAAGTTGTTATGTTTCTTACTTTATAAAATAGTATTTGCTATAAAATTTTATACCATATAACTGCCCAGTTCATTTATTTATTTTTGGAAAGTAGTAAATTTCATAACATGCGGGCTTTTAAAAATTTATCCCGGGATTCATTGAAATTTTAAACTTCTGTAGACCATCTATTTGAACCATTCTTCAAAACATTGAGTGAAAAATCATGTTCATAAATGATTCAAGCAAATCGAAGTGAAATGAAATATGTGAAACTTTAAACTAATATCCATTTTACTTAGTTTTAGATGATATTTAATTCCATGACATGCCGACTCTTGAAAATTAATATCCCCTACGTGGAATGTTCAACATTTCGAGACCCTTTGTTTTAACCATATTTTGAAACATTTTGCGAAAAATCATATTCATAAATCATTCAAAAGAATCGAATTAAATAAAATAAGTTACATTATATACAAGCTGTCAAATAACTTATTCTTAGAAAATACTAAATTACATAGCATGCCGGCTATTTAAAATTGATCCTGGATCAGAGAAATTTTAATCTTTTTCTGGTTAT